CTTTTTTTTCTTACTTACCTTTTCAAAATCTTGGTGCGTCTTATACACCAGTGCATCTTATGCGTCTTATAGTCCAAAATACGGTATGTATGTATGTATATACGAATGTACATACATATGTATGTTTCGTATTTCTAGGCCATTCATCTCCCTCCAAAGGGATTCTCGGGGGTGTACAGTATAATATCAGCATATAATACAACATATAAAAGTAAAGTTAAAATATTGAAGTTAATTTAGGATTAAAATTTTAAAAATTATGAAATTAATTATTTTTTTTAAAAACCAAAAAATTCCAAGAAGGCCATTTGATCCTGGTAAAATTGGTTAATAAAGACTGAGGGGGGGGGGGCACTTTCATGGCATCAAATAATCCCACAATGGCATAATCCTTTGTGCCTCCCAGGCAAGGCTTTAACCACATTTCAGAAGGCCGGGAGAGTGGGTGCCTGCCTCACCTTCTGGGGAAGGATATCCCATTTTGTGGGGGCAACAATAGATATGGATCTCTTCATAGACCCTGGGAATTTAGTTGGGATATAGACCATATTACATTTTCCTGGGTCACACCTTCCAAGGTGGGAGCCAGTGCGGAATAGGAAAGCTGTCGTCAGCAGCAATGGCTAAGAGAAAGTACAGGAGCAAAAAGCTTTATGAAGTTCAGTGGGCCGGGTGAGTTGGCTGATGGAGATGCCATGCTTGATACGCAGTGTCAGCAGCTAAGGGAAGGAAGATGCCAGGAAGATTGGGAAAAGGGATAGATGGACTGGTTAAGTAATGCAATGCTTTAATCCAGATGTGGTGGCCAAGAGGAAGGAAGACTGTTAAGGTTGTTGGGTGGTTAGTGCGGAGGAGGATTATTTGCCACACAAGAGTCTCTTTGGAGTTTATTTTGGCCAAAGCATGCAACAATGAAATTGCTCAGGTATTCAGTTTGGCTGAACTGTAACCTGTTCAGAATGGCTGGGCTGACGTGGTACAACTACACTATAATCTGCTTGTTTTGTATGTAAAACAAATACATTTTCTCTTTCATTTGCATGTTTAAGCAAAACTTTGTCAAACAATGTACTAAATTACAGAAAAATTGTTCGTGCAAATAGAGAAGCTGATATAGTGAGATGGGAGGTGCCTAAATTTGATGAATAGAAACTATTGAAATATTTATTAGTGAAAGGCATAGCTTAGAAATGGCTTCTGGTCCGCCCAGGTTCCCACAAGGAACTATAAACAATTACATTGGTGCTATGAAATAATCAGCTATGAGATAAATGCAGCAGAGGGAAAAGGCAATAGAAAACCAGTGTCATCTACAATATCTAGAAAACACATTCTAGAAAAATCTACATAAGTCATCCTGGACACTATCTCTTTTTTATGGTCTTTCGATAGTACGCAAAAAGGCTGCAAATTGCAAGGAAGAGGGATAAGATTTTTTCTTTCCCTTTTATTCTGAACATATCTGAAGAAGCTCTATGCATCTTTGATGTATGCTGCTTTTTGGAGGTTGCTTTTTAAATATGTCGCATTAAAGAGTAGGTGATAACACAGTTGTAGGCATGCTTATGCTGACATTAAATTCACTATCCTATCAAGTTTATTTTCTAATAAATATATTGGTTGGAACAGAATAATGCACAACTTTCAGTTTTCCACCTAGTGTGGGTAGATAACTTTATTTTTTATCCGTTCATTTGTGAATAAAATTTTAAATTCCTGGATGCTATGAACTAGAAAGTCATAAAAATGACTTCAAAATTAACTAATGTATTCAGGTAGTTTAAAAGATAAAAGAGTCATAAGTGATACTTTAATTAAGAATGCTTATGAAGCCAATATATTATTCCCAATGAGCACAAAAATGGAAATTCTTTTACACAAAGTCTACTTCAGTCAGTTTGTGTAAGGGAAAATACCTTAGCTGAGATCATGGCTTTTTTTTCTTTATCTGGTGTAAAACCAAGCTATCTAATACTGAGATTTGAAGATACATTGTCTGAGGAAAATCTGCAGCAAATAGGTGGTGATTAACATTCTTCAGGCTCTTTGCCAACCCAGTGTGCCTTTCGAAAAGGTAGCTTCAGTTTTTTCTGCATGTAACCTGCCATATTTGTATGACAGAATTCTATGTAATAACACCTGAAGTTTCTTCCCGGTTCTTTGGAAATACACTGAAATTTCCCCCCTTCATAAGGCTGTGATTCTAGAGCTAAGCATGTCTGTTGTCATATGTGTATAAAGTGGGCTTGGGAGTGACTGTAGACAGAGTCAGGCAAAGTGTGTTGTATCCCCCTACATTTGAATTTTCATTTCAGATAAGGAATTTTTAGTATCTCTGAACTATATCATGTGTTTCTTCGCTTGCCTGTAGTTATTATTCAATAGCAAACGACTTTAGGAAACATTGTGGGAGAAGATAATTTAAACTGTGTAATTACACTTAACTTTTTGGAGGGCTATTTTTGTTCCATAGAAATGTTTTAACATTTGAAGTTTTTGCCGACTTAGTTTCTATTTCTCATCACCATGCTATGGAGCTCAGATTTCCACAGGACTGCTAAGTCTGGGGAGCTGTCCAACAGGTCAGGCATAAGGTTAGAATAGCATGAGAGCTGTCCAGCTCAAGAATTGTAGACTAAAGAGCTGAGGAGAGCCAGGTATAGCAGTAGGTAAACAGCTTTGTAGTTAGTGCTGCTGCTGTTCTGTTTTGTGTTATACAGGTCCCTCATCCACAATAGGTATTGGGTGACACATTTTCCTCACGAGGACAGTTCAGAGGAGAGAAACTCTATCTTGCTCCCCAAAATTATGGAGATTTCTAATCTTAGCTTTGGCTCAATCTACTCTGTCTGAAATAGAGGCAGTACAAAGCAACTCAGCCTTATTTTCCAAAGATCACTTGTCAAGGCTGAAACCTGTATGTAACCAAATAAATGAAAGAAGAAATCAATGAGCCCAGAGTTATGTTTGCATATTCACAATTATGTGAAAAAGCACACATTTTAAGTATTTCCACAGCTGTAGTCATAACTGGATTACTGTAAAAAGGATTATAGAAATGATTGATGATGATGTTGTTGTTGTTGTTGTTGTCTGGGTGTTGTCCAAATCCACAGTTAAAACAGTTAAAGAGATAAAATAAATCAGACAGCCCAGAGTAAAAGCAGCCATAACAATAAAAACGCAACATGAAGCCCCACACACTCATTAACCCCAGGCCTGGGAAAAGAACTAGGTCTTGAGGGTTTTCTGGAACCCCAGGAAAGGAAGACCTGGAGCACACCAATTTGGCCTGAATGTGCTAGGTAGGCAGAAACAAATGGAGTTAGGCAGTCCTTCAGATAACCAGGTTCTATGCTGTGAAGGGCTTAAACATAATGGCCATCACCTTGAATTGTACTCAGAAGCATACCATTGCAGCTTACATAGCAGCAGCTATACATGGGCATAATGAGAAAGGCCTGTTACTGGCCCCACTCCTGCATTTTGAATAAGTTGTAGGTTCCAGAGGTTCTTTAAGGGCAACTTAATGTATAGTCTATTACAATAATTTTATCATGAGGTGACCAGAGTATGAGTGTCAGTCTCAAGAGCTTTCTAATTGAGAAAGATGTGCAACTGCAATACAGCATGGACCTATGCAAAACCTGTAGAGCCACAATTGCCTCTGAGCAATAATTGTGAATCCAGGAGGAGCCCCAAGTTGTATACCAGTTATGAATGGGAAAGTGCAATCCCAGATAATCATGAAAGCTTCCTCCAAAGCTTTCTCAGCTTCCTCAACAAGATCCTTCAGTCATCTGGGATGGTAACCCTGTCACCTTGTTAGGACAGGTACCATGAGTGAGCTGGAAGGCAGCCAAAGAATAATCTGTCCATGGCAATAGAGGGATGTTTATGTCCTCCAATACCAAATCATATTCCAATTGCCCTGAGACAAAAAACAGAACTAATAAGCAATCTCCAGCATGTGTTGGGTCCTCAATTATTTGAGACAAGTCTATGTTGCCATGGACTCAATGGATTTTTGATATACCCCAGACTCAATGCCACAAGAGGGCAGGTTAAAGTGCCCAAGGACTCCACCATCAACCCCGCAACAGTTGAAGTAGGGATGTTGCTACACAGCAAGGAGGGCAATACACCAGAAGCAATCCTAATTATTCTTAAAGGCCCAATTTCAGCAAAAGGGTCTCACTTCTGTGGAGCAGGACTTCAAGAACTCACAGGTGACAATAGCTATCTTTCCCCTAAGATATCAGCTGATATAAAACCTGAAATCAGGTGGGCATGTTTCTGAGAGGAGAAGTCTCCTTATCTAAGAGAGTAAAGCTATCACTGATTAACAATTGTTATGGATTATGGATATTGCCATCAGTATCAGAGACAATAAGTTCCAGTAGTAGTTACAATGGAGCATATCTAAGTGGTGATGTTCTCATAAATATCCCATTGAGCTATTGTAGGACAGAATGGTATGATATAGTGCAGCTATTTTTACATCTTTACAGACAAAACAACAAAATGAATAAATAGTGAGAAAAAGTATGGACAATAAATAAACCTTTATGGTTCTTCAGTATAAAAAAGATATATTCAATGTGGATATGTCAAAATATACAGGAAAGATAGAAAGAACCATGCAATTAATCTTGTGCACTACAAAATGCTTGGGGTTTGTAGTTTATCCACAGAAACTTTCTGTTGAGTGGCAAGGTACTTTTGAGATGACTTCAGGAATAATTTGTGAAATGAAACAGTCTTTTCTATTCAAAAAGGTAGGAAAAATGTCTCGCTGAGCATGTTCAAATGCTGTTTCAGATCCCAGATGCAGCAAAAGGTTATGGGTGAAGTTCATACTATATTTGGAAATATTTATTAGTTTCTAGTGCTCCTTGAAAATTCAGTTAAAAGGCAAAATATTTTATGGAAGAATTCTGCCAAGTTGTGTTTAGATGCTTATGATTTTTAAAATAAATATATTCCTTTCTTTCTCCCAGCGGTAGCTGCTGACAGTTCGCTCAGGTTATTATCTGATGTAGCCCAAGCTGTGAAAGGCCGTGGTACTATAACATGGATAGATTGCGGGTACGTAATATAATGCCTTTCATTTTCCCATCTACTGAAAACAGTTATGTCTAAACTAAAGTTTTGATATTGTTATGTGAATTCCCTAGACTTACCCACTAATCTTTGACAATTGTATTCAGCATCATCTGCAGGGATGTCAAAAAAATCTGTATTGTGGTTGTCAAAAACAATGACGGTGACATCACAGTACAAAATAGTCTTCTATTAGAATGCCATTTCTGCCGTCTTGCCGTAATAACCTCTAAAGCCACACCATCCACTCCCATGCCACAGATTACATTTACATGTGGATTGTTAACATGGGAGAATTTAAGAGCCACTTTGAATCAGATCAAGTGGCTAATCAGATATCTATGAGAAGAAATTCAGTGTAGCTTTAAATTGCAATAAAGATTATTATCATCCATGTTCTATGTCTGAGACATACTTTAAGTAATCTGAATGTGAAGTGTGAGATTGGGGTTTAGTGCTAAATGTTTGTCTGGGGAACTTCACTACTTTTTGTTATTAAATACCTACATGTAAGTGCTGACTGAGAAGTTTTGGAGTTGGGCCATCATCAATAGGTAAAAACGTATTTCTACTTAAAACCTTGTAAGACTGTGGTGATGGAAGACCAGTGCTTGGCAACTCCAGTGGAGTGCTTACATCAGCTCAATTAAAGTTCAGTCCAGTTAAAGGAGAGGTCAGTACTTTATATCCCATGACAAGATGTCCACAGAGAGTTGAACTTGCCCTGAAGAATCAGGTACATAGCTTGGATGTTCTTAAAGCAGGAGTGCAGTTTTGGAGGTCAAAGCTCACATTTAGTCTTTGAATGGTATGCTGGGGGTTACAGCAAACATGTAATTTTCATTCAAATTCAATTTGATTTAATTTACAATTCTTTGTCATGTATTGTAACTTGGGAGCAATGGTTGGTTGCGTGCAAATCATAAGAGGATCCAGGAGATTAAAAAAGAGCCCCAGTTCCTGCAACCCTACAATTCAAAAGCATGCAAATGCAAGTAGGTACATAGGTACCATTTTGGTGGGAAGTGCTGGCCACATGACTGCGGAAATATCTTTGGACAGCACTGGCTCAATCACTTTGAAACAGAGATCAGCACTGCCCCCTATAGTTGGCAAACACTAGCAGAGTAATATTCTCAGGGACTCCTCTTTTTTTTTACTTGGGGATTAAGATTTTGTCTGTCTATGTGTCTTTCAATCCCTTAAATTCATCCTTGGAAACTCTTCATGAATCAATTGTTTCCCTAATTTCTGAATCTAGTAGTGTAGCAAGTAAGATTTTTGGGGCGGGAGGGGGTTTCCAATCCCACAAGTTGGATTTCTTCATTCTGTCCAACTTGTTGCAGACTATAGAAACTTCTGGATGCCCCCCCCCCCCACACGCACTGTTCTTACACAATTGCTTCATAGAGATTTCTTCCCTTGGAAACTCGCCCTGTAACTCCACGGTAGATTACACAGGAGTTTGGGGGAAGGTATTTTTGTGAAAGCTTGACTTGTTTGACAAATATTGACAAGGAGCATTTTGTTTGGCAGCTGTGTTCTCTGCAGCTCATAATTCTTCTTCTTCTTTTTTTTTTTTGGTCTTTTCATATTATGGTATTGAAAAGGATTTCTGAAAGGAAGAAAAAGCCTCTTCTGGAATGTGGGTGTTGGCAAGGCTGTCAGCCGTGCTGTGCTGGGGCTTCTGCTTCCTGCTCTTCCTGCAGCGATAACAGCTTTGCCTTTTAAGGAATTGGCCATATTTTGTTTCTTACAGTTAATATTCTGTCTTGAGAGGAAAGCAATATTGTGCCTGTTACTTATCAGATTTCATTATTCCATTCCCTCACACTTGATCCTAGCCTTCTTCAATAGTCTATTCTTATATTCCTACCACTTAGTTATCATTACTAAACAACAGTAAGCAACCATTAAATTTGCTTACATGCGGTTTTTTCCCCGGGTTTTGTTTTTACAAATTTCTCTTTCTGCCCTTTCCCAAAGTAGGACAATTCCTCTGCCATTTCTTTCTTAAATTATTTAAGCGTGGTCAGTGCAGGGCTGATCAACTAGGTGGCAACACTTAACAGACTTGACTAATCTAAAAAACAACAACAATGTGAAGTTAGGCCTGACTGGGAGAAAACTAAGAAAGCAGGTTATACGCTCTATTGGGAAGTTAAAAAGAAAATCTCAAACGATGGCAGTGATAAAACTTTTCAATATTTCCCAAACATTACGGTGGGGTGGCCCTGAAGTGACTAGGAACCTACTTCAGTTCTGCAGTCTTTAATGCATGACCTGCTACTTGAATTTTATCCATGTCGGCCACTTTTCCTTCACTGTTTCCTTCAGAATATTTACAATTCAAGCAACAAAAGAACTGGAAAAACAGATTTGATGAACTGTACTCCAGTTATACAGTATGCCACTTTGGTGGAAAGGAAACAGTGTTCCACACACTGGAAGTGGTTCCCTGGTCACCGCTGATGCCGCCACCATCTTTTTTTTAGTTCTGTGCATGCGCAAAACAATTTTAATTCAACTAAGCATGCGCGCACAGCGTGCATCCAGCGCATGCACATGAGCAAACCAGCAGTAAAGCCGGCCGGAACCCACCCCTGGTTGGCTTTCTCAGTTAAGAAATGGAGGTGATTACGGCGTCCTGTTTGAGTCAGACATAACTAGAAAAGGGAAACCTTTACCTTTACCTTTACTCCAGTTACCGTATTTTTCAGAGTATAAGATGCACCTTTTTCCCTCAAAAAAGAGGGTGAAAATCTGGGTGCATCTTATACACAGAATACAGAATTTTTGGCTCCTGAAACCCCACCCCCTTGGCAAAAATGGCCATGCATAGCCTTCCAGAGTGCTCCTGGGAACTGGAAAGGGCAAAAATGAATGGAAAATGGGCTGTTTTTTGCTCATTTTTGCACCCCCCAGCCCCCAGGAGCACTCTGGAAGCCTCCTAAAGACTATGCATGCCCTTTCTTTTGACAAAAAATGTGCCAATTTTCATGAAAATTTTTTTGGGAGGTCTGCAAACCTTTTTTTTTAATTTGCCTCTTCAAAATCTTGGTATGTCTTTTACTCCAGTGCATCTTATACTCTGAAAAATACGNTCCTTGGAAACTCTTCATGAATCAATTGTTTCCCTAATTTCTGAATCTAGTAGTGTAGCAAGTAAGATTTTTGGGGCGGGAGGGGGTTTCCAATCGCTGAAAAGCTCTCTCTCCCTGGAGTATTTCCCCATGTTTCTAATTATTCAGTGCCACCTAATAATATTCTGGTCTGCCAGACAATGTTGTGCATTTTAAATACTTTAAATACTTATTTAATTACTTATTTAATTTAATAGTTGTTTTAGTTCTGCTAAGGTCTTTTAACTTTTATGTCTGGTGATGCTTTTAATCTTGATATTTGTATTCTTTTGAGTTGATACGTTAGGTCTTTTAAATGTTTTATTAGTTAAAATTGTGCTATGTACTATAAAAAATAATTTATTTTAAGAGACATTAAATAAATTAAATAAAAATTAACCTTTGTCCAAATGACATTAAATGGGAAGTATTTGGCAGGTTCTCTGTGATCCGTGCTCATTGCAGCATTTGATGTTTTGTGCTGCTAATCAAATGTCATTGCATGCCCTTCAGCAAAATCACTGTATTATATTTCTACTTGAAATACTCTAACTTGAGAATAAAACCTTCAGAGGAGATGTAGCTGGATCTCAGAAACTACTACTATTCTTCCAGAAGAAATTAAATGGATTGAGTTTGTTTCTGCTATTGATGCTTTGCAGAATACGTCCTAGTAAATAAAAACAACATCCAAATTAAACAAGGGTCTCTCTCTCTCTCCCTGTCTCTCCCTGTCTCTCTGTGTCTGTCTGTCTGTCTGTCTCTCTCTCTCTCTATTTTGTGTGTGTGTGTGTGTGTGTGTGTGTGTGTGTAAAATATAAACAAAATTGACCTAGAATTGATAGTTTCCTATTGGAAACAATTTCTCAGAATACTGTTGAATGGAAAGCTCTGTGCTCAAATTTGTTCATTATGTTTCTGTGTGAGTATGCACGTATGTGTCTGTGCGTGCATAATTTCCCACAAGTTGGATTTCTTCATTCTGTCCAACTTGTTGCAGACTATAGAAACTTCTGGATG